GCCAAGTTACTTTTCTGTCCTTTCCAAGCATCAATGACTGAGGCCTGAAGAGCCCGACCAAAGCTGAAGGTCAACGCCCACGGCTTGCGACCAGGGACTTTATTGATCTCGTTAAGATTCATAGTGGCTTCGAGCTCCGACTGGCCGCCAGATAAAAATGTCACTCCTAGAAGTCAAATCAGTTGCATTGTGGTATGAGAGAAATGTAGTGGCAACTTATGAATCACGTAAGCATGGAATGTGTTACGCATAAAACACAGCAGCGTGTTATAAACTAAGCGCAATATAGGCTAACCAACATTTCCACGACAAATATGTTGGCGATGGATGTCAGCGCTTTCGCGCGGAGCGTTTGCTCATGGCATTTAGGCTTTCACTGCTCTGACCCTTATTATTATTATTATTCATGCTCTAGATCATCGTGGTTGCGTGGCGGCGAATTATCAAGTGAAGTCACTGATGTAATGCTGGTGACGATGACTCGCTACACAAACATAACTATTGTACTTCGACTCTGCAAAGTAACCGGGGCAGAACCAAGCCAACTCAATACTTGTGGGCACGAGCGAGGGGAAAAGAGGTAGCAGCCAACACAACACTAGGTCGGTCGCAGCTCAATGACAAGATGGGGATGATTGGGAAAATACTCGATCTCCCAAATAAAGTAAACTAGAAGCAACAAAATATGAATTTATCACTATCCATCGTTCTGAAATTTAAACGCCGCACGCAAATCCCTTTCAGTCCCAGAACAGGACTGCAATTGGCCAATCTCAGGAAGCCGTTAATAGACCGATAAATACCCACGAATGTTACAAAGGTGGACACCTGAGTTTTCATAATAGATCCCGCTCAGAGATCTTGTCTTCTTCGTTGTTGCGGTTGGGACAATTGAGTAGAAGTCGAATTTGTGAGTGTTTCCTTTATGAGTGTGCTCGTAAAGAAGTACGGTAGTGGTCATCAGATAGTAACCGAAAATAAAATGAATGGCAGACACAGCAGTCAAGCTCCCTTGGGAGGAAGCTCAGGGCAAACCATCGTTATCATCACAATCATCAGCCATTTGAACTGACGCTTCGCTGCCGTACAACCACAATGACCAAAGGAATGAAGAATAATAGGAGAGAGAATGGGGCCTAATGGAACGTCTGAAGGCCAGTAGCAAGCATCTGCGCTACGACTTGTAAAGATCCTAAACAAGATATGGTCACAAACGGCATAATATGGTGCGAAGTGAAGGTGGCATGAACGAGACCGTCTCCTTGCGGCTTTCGCTGCTCAACGTCATAGGCAGCCATTAACCCGCAGATAACTCAGCACCAGACACACGTTAAACAAGTAATTCGAAAAGGAGACGACAGCAGACGCGCCACTGATGTCGACTGTGGGCCAGATCCTGTGACGTCTTGGGTCAGGCACAGGGCGGACCAAATGGACTCCAGCCTGTAAGTTGTGATCGACTAACAACAGTTTAGTGGCCAATAAACACGCCGTCCCGTATGCTTAAGGATCACAAGTCTGCCCAGTAATTCGATGGCGGGAGTTCGAGTCTGCGTAGGAGACCGGACCGCTCTCGCAATATTCTTAGTCCACGTGTGACTGGTAGGGGCTGCGCGGCAGCAACGCGTCGGTCCTGCGTACCGGCGTACTGCTGATGACGTCTTCGGAGACCACAGTTCCTGTTGCAAAGTCAGCTTTCGCCCACATCAAGTCTTGCGAGACCCACATTCAGCAAAGAAAACAACGCCGTCGTCGGTAAGGGGTGCACAAGCCAACATAAATTAGTTAATGCTATCTATAGCTCTAAGTAAATAACCTGATTATCACCGGCTAGTACCCACCTAGACGCATCATCCCTGCGGACACACTGGTGCCATCCGACCCAAACAAGGTTACGCAGGCAGCGGTGATTAAAGTACTGAAAACGCCTCAATGGAGAAGGAGGGTTTTCACTGTGGCCCCATAAACACGCCTTTCAGACCGAGGAAAACCCATCCTGACGTCACAGATGTCACAGATTCAAGAAAGCATATATGGAATTAGCATTACGTGAATTAATTTCTGCTGTTACTTATGCAGTTGCCAATGTAATGAGACGAACGAAAATTAAGGTTAACGATTTTATCAGCATCGACATTAGGTTGATACCCTATGGTTAGCACGTCCGGTGCTACTTCGCTTTTGTATTTTGCCAAAATACTGGATCCACTCCAGTTGGTTGGGATGGTCTCTTCCTAACAAACCCGTTCAAACAGAAAGGTCAGTGCTTGTAGGGTCAATGCAGAGGACCTCACCATAATCTTTTAATGATGCAGGATCAATAGAGTCGAGGTCATCAGCGCCAAAACGCTTGAGGGCAGTGATCGGATTTCGGACATCCGATGAAGATTTTAAACTAACCCGCCATGGCCTACTCTGCACCACCTGGACAGGAAGAAACTCAGGAGTAGGGAGAAAACTCAACTGCTCTCATAAACCCTCTGCCCAACTGGCCAGACGGCGCACCCTATTGTGAAGTACACTAACCGTGCTATCTCTGGTTGTCCAATGGACCATTGGGTTCGTGGGACAAGTGGTGTTGCTAAGTTGGAAAAGCTTGCAGTATTGGCATACTTCACTCACCGGCTTCAATTTCTGAACCTCACTGATCCGCCAGGCTCCCCAGTCAGAACGCAGGCTCCGCCTTAGTTCGTGTCTTAAGAGTATATCCGCAAACAATGTGCCCAAAGCCATCAGGAAGCTTTTACTGGATTCCAACAGGTTTAGCGACTTCGCGTACATTCGTGGAGTGGTGCGGCAGCGACTGAGAGCCGCAAGAACAAGCTTCCGTGTCGTGCATCGCAGCCGAGATACTATAACGTAGAAGCTCAGTGTCCTCAGGATGAGAGAGTGAAAGCACGGTACGCAGGGTACTCTGGTAAGATTGCCTGATCGGCAACTGTGTTACCTTCTCCGTTGCGTGTTCGTAAGAGACGCTTGGTAAGCATTTTGGTCAAGTTCATGGAAAAACGCCTAATCAGAGTTGACACACATGGTCCAAAACGAACAACAGTTCAGAATGGGAGTAGTCTACCTGTAACGTATGGCGACGTGATCTATGTAGGCCCTTCGCTGGCCAGTCATAGGAAAATGCCAAGTAGCACTTCGGCTCGCGCTGTGCCGAAAAACAACGCTGTTAACAAATAGCCAATGCTCTATACATAATTGCAATGCCGCAAAGCAACGTTACCAGTTAGTGGTAGGAGATGTGCATGAAGGCACGGTGACTGCAGTTAGTAGTAGGGACAGAAGCAGCAACCACAAGCAAACAGCGTTTAGTGCCAAGTGGTGAATCAACCTTAGTTGATGTCGTAAAACGACTGCTCACAGGAATCCAATCAACTGATGATGATTCAGCGCAAGAGCTAAGAACAATGCTGAACCCAGCTGGAGTTTTAACTGCCGTATCAGTGTTCCTAAATGCGAGTAACCAATAGCGAGAAGACAAACCGGGTGTAGTTAGCTCAACAACCACTTGAAGGTCATTGATCCTGGTTTCAGACACGCAACACACGTCGATAGACTAGATGTCCAGCGTGTGTGCGAGTGCAGCTTGTTAACCTAATTGTCGTACACAACGAATGTTGAACGCCGTCAAGGAAACAGGACAGCATGGCCTTTAATAGGGTTCGTCAATCAAAACCTATGGTTCCAAAGCCTGGTCGCAAGGCAGTGGGGAGATCGCAACAATCCGATTTCGCGGAAATGGACACCATCCCATTTCTAACTTGTAACCTGGAGGACAAAAAGACTGGTAGAAGTAGCACTCAGGGCCCGGTGGCATCCCCCGATGAGTCGGAAAGACACACAAATCGTAGCATTACGGGAAAGTGCACCGGTGTGTGTTATGTAGAATAACAACTGAACGCGTAGACTAACTGGGCTGCAATAGACGCGTGAGAAACCGTGGTTCACAAATGGCCTAAGTAGTAAAATGGCTTACATGAAATGCAACATCAAACCGCTGCTTGAAACAATTCAAGAAGACTAGGTAACTGTGTCACAGCCTCTGTAGTTTTATAGTCTAGGAAGGGTTAGGTAGTAGTCTGCATGAAGTGATGAATTCGTGTAATGACCAAAAATGCGAGAACACTGACCAACAACTGCAGGAGGAACGGTTCTCTGCAAAGCTTGAACAGTAGCTAAAGCATTCTCAGATGGGCTGTACCGTTTGGAGCATGCTTGACCAGCCGTCACCATATTGGGTTTGAGAAGAGTGCCTTCCAGATACACGTGATGATCAGCCAAAGCTTTGTACACGAATGCCAAAACTTGTTCCGTCACTTTCTGCGCAGTCGGTAGGTCGTGGTCGCCATCGGGGAGCACTTCGGGCTCCACAATTGGTACAAGACCGTTCTAGTAAGAAGCAGATAGCATTAGCCACAGGATTACCAGAAGGTACAATAGGATATGCGTCAGACGGCTAACATGTATGAATACCAAACATACATACTGTCAGATCTACCAAATTTTCTCGCTATTCCGAAGTAAACACCAAAGATTCTCCGCAAGACACATATATGATGTCGGGGCAACAGGAGTTTATTGCAATTAAGCCATTTAACTACGAACACATTTTTGCGTAATTAGCAGAGATGCTCCAGAGGATGATAAAATGTAAATAACGTGGAACTATCGCAGTGATTTAAATAGATGAAAATATAGACGCGAAGCACATCACAGCAGCAAGATCGTAGAGAAAGGGAATTCACTGGGACCTGTGAGCATAAGGGACCGTTGGCAAAATAGGGCCCAAGCAAGCCGCAGTCAATGGATCAGCGATGCGATGAACAGGCAGGAGAAAAGGCGTACGGACAATAAAAGTAAATGTACTCTAGATGCATGTGACAACAGCACACGAAAAATAATGGCAATAAACGATGGTGGTTCAAGAGTACGTCTTTATTCCACTATTGGAGGCTGGAAGACAACAAGTAAAAGCACAGAGATGTGATCGCTTCTGGCCATCGTTCATTCGTTATACATGTTAGCTAAAGGTAGCATAGACATCAGCTATTGTGCTGCAAAACATAAGTCAGCAGTAACGGATGGGTATCGTTCTGGAGAGTTAACAGCCGGCTAGGATGCCTAGTAAATGAGATCATGGTTGGAGGTGAGGCTAAACGGGGGAGGGAGGGACAAAGAAACGCACAGCACAAACGTCATTGAGGTCGGCTCCTTGCCATGTCAACAAGTGTATCCTGTCAAACGTGCTCATCGTCTATTGGACCTCAATCAGGAAGCCTAGAGGTTCTAACCAAGGCCAATCTCGAACTAAGGGCCTTCATTCCTTTTGATCAAGTCATCGCTTGTCCACCCCACCGCCTCCTCCATTCACATTTGGGACGCGCAAACAAAGTACTTCGCGGGAGTCTGTGTGCTTACATGCGCAACATATGGCCACGCCATTGAAGCCTGGTGCACGATATAAAGGTGCGAGACAGGTTCTTTGCGGCTTTCACCGCCCTACGTCATAATTAGCCATTACCCCGCAGATAACTCAGCGCCAAACACACTTTAAACAGGCAATCCGATTAGGAGACGGCAGCAGACGCGCCACTGGTGTAAGTTGCGAGCCATGTCCTGTAAAGTCTCGAGCCAAGCACAAGGCGAGTCACGTGGACTCCAGCCCGGAAGGCGAGAAGGACCAACGGCACCCAGTTTGGTCGTCAGTGACTTCATTTCCCGCTGCCAAGTCAACTTCTGTCCACCTCGAGCCTTGCGCCATCCTACACCTGGCAGACTAAACAAGGCCCTCCTAGGTAAGCGGTGACCAGGCATACGTAGCACGTGCCCGAGCCAACGCAACTTATGCTGTGCCAGCTGTTATTCTAAGGAGCTAGCATGATTATCGTTATCTAGCGCTCGCCTACGCACATCATCGTTCCAGACACGCTGGTGTCATCCGACACCAGCACTGTTTCGTAGACAACGAGGATCAAAGACTTGATGGCGCCTCAGATCATCAGACCGAAGGGGCCGTCACACTACCATAGACCAGGAGGGCCCTCACTGTGGCTTTGTATACACGGCCTTTCAGACGGAGGGAAACTCCCTTCTGTCGCCAAATATGCCGTAGGTTCAAGAGGGCAGTTCTGGCCTTTGCAGTGCGTGAACTGACTTCAGTTTCTACACGCCCATCGTTGCTGATGCAGCTGCCAAGGTAAGTGAATTGATCAACCAGCTCGAGTTCCTTGTTAGCAAGAGTCAAGTGACTGATTGTCCCGCAGCAAAACTTCGCTATTTGAAGGTGCGAAGGGTATACAAAATAACGAGACCACGGTAGGCAGGCTATTCAGGGTTGATTGTGTCGCCGCAACATCGTCGAAAAGCAAGACAATATCGTCCGCATAATCAAGATCCAGTAACCTTTCACCAGGCAGGACCTCAACGCCTACATCGTGAGATTCCGTAAGGGAACACTCCATGATAGAGTCCACAACGAACTTGAACAAAATGGGGAAATCGGAAAACCCTGACGAACACCACTTGTAGTCGGAAAGCTATCCGACAGGTCCCCGTGGACCCTGACGCGGCCTGTAGTGTTCGAGTATAGAGCACGAAGGATGTGCACATAGTTCGTGGGAACACCTTTCCGCGCAAGTATTCCGAACAGAATTGATCGATCGACTGAATCGAACGCACTCGTGAAATCGAGGAACACAGCTATTGTCGATCTGCGGTATGCGTGGCGCTGCTCTAGCACCTGTCGCAGAATGAATATATGGTCTATACAGCCATATCCTAGGCGGAAACCTGCCTGCTCTTCCCTAATTCGAGATTCTCGTTCCACAGTGAGGCGACGAACGAGAATCGAGGCCAGTAAGTTTGACACATCTGGGGTTAAGCCAATACTCCTGTGGTTAGAACAGTTGGGGCAGGACACCCGCTTCCTTCCAGATACGTTCGAATAGGGAGGTCAGTGCCTGGCAGGGGACCTCACCTCTATCCTTAAATAGTGCAGGTGGGAAGGAATCCGGGCCAGCGGCATGAAAACTATTGAGGGCTGTGTTCGCATTTCGGATCTCGGCCTCCGATGGAGAATCTAAACTGACCATCGCAATGAGGCTGGACCTTACCGTGGTGCGATGGTTTGTGCACCTCAGTGATCCATTGAGCTATGCTGGGTGGTGCTTTTGCACCTTCAGAGTCACTCATACCAGATTCGCTAATGGTTAGAGGCCAGACAAACCCAGCCTCGTGGTCCTCCAGATTGGAAGTTGGAATGAGGGTGGCACCTTATTCCTTAAAACGGACTCCTTGCAGCCCAACGCCTAACCCGCTGCCTTGCGGTCACGTTTTTTGAACCATAGGCCTTGGTTGGGAACCCTAATGGTTTTTCTGTCTAGGCCTGGGCAACCTAACAATATCTTGCCCCCGCAATACAATGAATTTTTCTTCAAACAGTTTCCTGATGCTCTGGCCGTCGCAGAGGATAATAAACGGCGCCCTATCTGCTGCATCGAGCAGGGTGGATAGGGGTTTGGATGCTACTGCACAAGCCTCCTCGTCTTCTTATTCCCCTCTTACGCTTTTTCACCCTCATCGTCCCGTTCCAACTCCAGTTTTACCCCCCAGTTTTCAACCCCCCGATTCTTGGCCCTCTCCCAACATGCTTTGATAGGCGATTATCTTCTAATTTCAACTCACAGGTTAACGCCGAGCGTCACTCCTTTCCTGTCGACAAGCCCATGTCCAAGCAAGCGGTCCACTCCAGTTCATCGGCCCCCATTTGGAGCCCTCGATCCTCCTTCAGATTGGCATGCTTAAAGGTATGCACATTACTACAGGTCGGTCAACAGGCAGCACTTGCCCGAATATTGGAGACTCTCTCGATCGATATCTGCTGCGTATCGGAGACCCGCCTGCAAGACGCGAGCTCTGTACTCACTCTGCGATTCCCTTAAGGTGAAGCAAGCAGTATTTACTCATTGCTCTTATCGGGTGACAAGGCGGCTTTGAGCACCGGCCAACCTGGTGTTGGCATTTCCCTGAGTCCCCGGGCTGAAGCTACTCTGGTTGATTGGATTCCAATCAGTAGCCGGATGTGCGCGGTCCGATTGGCTGGCTCGTTCAAACCTTCGAAGTCGCGTGGGACTAACAGGTGTCTTTTCATCATCGCTGCCTAAGCGCACACAAACTCTAGCGATGATTCCGTAAAGAACAACTTCTACCGCCAACTTACCCAGCACCCTCGCGACAGAAGAAGCACGGACACTGTTGTGCTGGTTGGGGATCTGAACGCACAAGTTGGGAAGTTGTCCACTGATGAAATGCATATGGGCGGTCAGCACGGTGCAGGTTCCCGTGATGATAACGGTGAGTGGTTAATTCATTTGTGTGAGGATGCTCGCTTATTTCTTGCGAGCACTAATTTCAGACACAGCACTCGCCGGACGGTGACTTGGCGCCCACCAGTCTCGAACCAGCTATGGACGCAAATCGATCACATTGCGATAACTTACCGATGGAGAGGCTGCGTCCAGAAGTGTCGCTCGATTTGGAGCACATGTGTGGACACCGATCATGCACTTGTATGTGCTGACATGGGGATGAGTTTTGGCGGACGCCCACGACGACGCTGTGAGCGCATTGACACCAGCCAACTGACAAAGCCAGCTGCTCTGAATGCCTAGAAAAGTACGCTGATATGCGATTGGAGTAAGCGTCCACTGGAGACAACTGAAGGCCACTGGTCATTAGTTCACCAGACCTTAGTAGCAGCAGGCAAATCCTCATGTGGCAAGTCTTATAGCCAACATGGACATTGGGTCCCTTCACAGTCTCTGGAACTTATAGATGATCGCCGACATATTCCGGCTGGAAGCTAACACAATGAAACTCGCAAAGAGCTCCGGGCAAGACTCCGTGCTAGCCTGAAGAGAGACCACGGATCTTGGTGGTCTCTTCATGTGTCAGAGATGGAAGTGGCAGCTGCCCTTGGTAACCATCGCAAGTTATTCCGTCTGATACGGGAAACGGGCAGCATGAGACCGGGTGTTAGTGAAACTACACGTGACGAGAGTGAACAGCCTATGCAAAATTTGTCAAAGCGATTGGAGCGTTAGGCTGAGCCTTTTGAAAAGCAATTTAATCGGCCAGAATTGTTCGATTATTCGCCGACCAGTGATCGCCCTGCTCCGTGGGCTGTCCCTTTGGATCCACCCTGTCGTTCAGAAGTCGAACGTGAGATCGGACTGTTGAAATTGAACAAAGCCCCGGGACCAGATGATCTTCATCCAGCCCTCTTCAAATTCGGGGGACCTGCTCTTGTTGAAGATTTACATGAATTACTAGTGAAACTGTGGGAGCAGGAGACTCCCAACCGATTGCAGCCGCTCCGTCATAGTCCCAAT